GGTCCATGACTTAGTTATTGAACCTGACTCTGTGCAATGCAGATGGTGTGAGATGCGTTAGCAGACCGGGCAGGCTCCTGCCCGCAGGGGAGGGGGCCCGTGGGGCTGTACATAGGGGTACACTGTCACCTCCCCTCCTTTGCCCCCCTTCTCTGAGCTTGTGGGAATTTCACTACCAGCAGTTGGGGGCCTGCGCCTTCCCCAGGCCAGGCTGGCTGCCGTGGGTGCCCCCCCTCGGCCCCTGTCTGTCCGTAGGTGGCAATAGTGGAAATAATTGGAATTTGAAAGAAGTGAAGCTGCGCCTGGCTGGGGAAGGAGCTGGCCTGAGGGCAGGCCTGGCTCCTCTGGGAAGGCACCTCCTCGCTGGCTCTTCCCTGGAAGCATCTGCTCTTACTGCTGTTTTGTTACTCAGATTCTCTTCCCCGATCCTGCCCTCGCCCCGCGAGGCAGCTCTGGTGGCTCTGCTGCCGGGGCAGGAGGGGAGTCAACTACACCTGAGCGACTTCTGTTCTTACGGCTTTTATGCAGTTTGATGCAATTCTGGCTTTTGTGGATAGATGAATGTAATTCATTGTTGGACATGCCTGTTTCCAAAAGTATGAGACATTCTGTTGTACCACGTCACCTTCCGAGCAGAGCTGGGACTGTCTCGACTCCAGTGCTGTTGATGAATGTATCCGATGCTCTCGTTCAGTGTTCACACTCTGCTTTTGGCCAGCTTTGTGATTTGTAAATAGGAAATCAATAAAGACATTCAGGTTGTCTTTACCAAAGTTTCTTCATGATTTGAAGAGAGCTGATGGCCGCCGCCATGTCCAAGGGAAGGTGGAGGGGGGACCTGTGCCAAGCCGGGGCGTGGGATGAGGCAGACTCCGGGGGAGTCCAAGAGAAGGGCGATCGCTTCTGGGACAGCCCAAACCCTCATAATAATGAGGGTATTACAGAGCCCATGTTTCTCTGGGGGAGGAGAGCAGGAGGGTGCTGAGCGGCTGCTATCCTGTCTGTGTGTGGTAGATTTAGCCTGTCATTTTATGATTGAACTTCTTTAACCTTGATTGAAGGGGTTTTTGATGAAGTAACATGCACTAGAAGCTGCCCTGACCTTTGCAGGGCTCTGTCTGGGTCGCTGGAGGCTGCGAGGGCGGTGTCGAGGGCTGTTCCCCTGCCCCGGCTGCGCGGGCAGGACAGCAAGGCTGCAAGCGGCGAGTGGTGGAGCAGTGCCCAGGGCTGGGCTCTGCCTCCCCTCCTGCCCCCAGCCCAGCCACGACACCCCGGCAAAGCACCTTCGGTAGCTCCCGGGCGCATTGCTCAGCACCTCAGTGAGGAGCCCCGAGGGATCAGCGGGGCTGCGTCGGAGCTGCCTGGTGATCCTGATCCCCTGGGCAAGGCTGTGGGAGCTTCCAACCCTTGGCTTGTGCTGGAGCTCTTCATCAGGGGAACCGGAGTGCCAGGAGCGGTGGGGACATTGGCCTTGTCCCTCTGCTCTTGTACACCCCACACGCACAAGGTCCTGTGGCCGTGGCTGGATCTCGCCTGGCTGGAGCACGATGCCCATCCTGTCCTTCCTCCTCCTCAGCCACGAGGCCGAGGGCTCCCCAACTCCCATTCGGAGCCCTGCCAGTGTCAGAGCACCGGGTTCCGGCTGGGAAGCGCTCTCGTGCCCCACAGCCTTCCCCACTCATCGGCTTCTTATGGGAATGTCCCCCGGGAGCCCTGGGGAGAGTCAGGCTGGGCAGGGAGCTGCCGGGAGCCGTTAGCTTTGCTGCTGCAGCCCAGACCGCCCCCAGCCTCTCCTCATGTGAAAAAGAAACGAGGGGCTGTATTTTTAGCTCTGGACTGTTTCGCAGCAGGAAAGGCCGGTGTGCAGCCGGGGAGGCCCTCGGCAAGGGACGGCCACCGAGGGGCTGAGGCAGCTCCCACCCGGGGACAGGGAACCCACTGCTGGTTGAGCCTCAGATGGAAACGGGGGGTGCTG